TACCTAGACACAGGAAAACTATTGTCGTGAAAGTGTTGTACAGTCGATTACGAATTTAGATTGCAGAGAGTTTGTTCTGAGCGCTAAAGGCACTCACGATAGAGCACATTTTGCTTTATTCTAACATGGCTGACCAACGACTACTTTCACCAAAAGATACAGTCCTGTACTTTTCTAGATCCAAACCCTATAAAAGAACTTGTCACGCAACATCATTGGGACAAAAACGAGTTCTGCGGCGAGGCAGGAGGTGAAAGGAGAGAGGCTTTCAGCCGCATCCTCACCAACAAGGTCAGAAGAAAGGGTTTTGGTTGGAAAGAATACATTGATTTGCTGCATGAACGTGAAGTTGACATGTCAGCAAACACGGAAACGCAGCTGGCAACGGAACTTCAAGCCAAGGGAGGGCCAAACGATGCCGTGGTGAACGACACTTGTGCTGTTGCGTTTGCTGTGCTTGATTCTGCTAATGGAAAAAAAATACACTCAACCTGTTATTTCTACAAAAAATTCTGACATCGCCATGGACGACCTTGCACAACGCTCACGACAAGGCAAGAGACAAATCGTTACAGGAAGATTTGATTTTGGCTGATGACCTGGCCAAGCACCCAACAAACACCCATAACGCACGTGGCGAGCTCAAGTTTTATTTGACAAGGGCAAACCAGAAAAAAAATCATGTTGGCCTCACAGCATCGGAGTTTCAAGAGACTAGGGTTGAATACCACACATTCAAAAAAACGAAAATTCAGAGAGCGGATTCAACAAGAAATTAGATTTCAAAAGTACCGCAACTGTCTGGAGGATGAAATAATGAAGAAGCTGGCAAAGTTGAAGAAGGAAGAAAAGAAAAAAAGAAAGAAAACTTGTTGCTCTATGAACAACGTATGAAAGTAGCAATGACCGAAAAGGAGGAGGAAACAAAGAAGCAGGAGGAAGAATCACCGATGTCTGAGGACTAGCAAGTAGTAATAAAATTGTATTAGATATGTGGTAAATTATCCTATTTCAAAGAGAGGGTGGCCGTTATTCATTTTGAATTGGACTGTTCCAACAACTGCAACGACACATTTTTGATGTTTGTCTCTCGAATATTTGAACCTGTCGTCCAAAATAATAAAAAGCACTTCAATCGACGATTAAAAGTTTCATGGCGAAGCCGAGCATGTTACATACTCATGGTTTTCTTTGGAGTGTGTGTTGCATCTCGCTTGAAGCTGCCCTCCCCCCATTGGAGAACATCATCCCCCTGATATTTTCTGAGTACGTTTGAGTTATAACTCACACGTTTGGGTAAAAACTCACATGTTTGACTCACACGTTGTGATCTGAGTTACAACTCAGAAAAAGTCTCAATGACCAATCGGTCATCTGTGTCCATAAGTCCCTATTTGATAAATCATCACATAATAATATGTCATAATAGTCAAAGGGAAATAATATAGATTTTTTGAAGCTAAAAATATATTTTTATATCTCCGGGTACGAGCACGTCAAACTTTGCGATCAGTGTCCCGAAAATACTCGGTCTGAACATTTGCCGGGTGTTCCTGGGACATCCCGAAAATCTTGCGTTTTGTGTATTTTTAATATCTCACATCAAAGATACGCTTACAATAACACGATGGTACACCAAGAAACCAAAAGTGGCAATGTGACTGCCATCATTAGGAAAGGTCTTGTAGCGCTACCACTATCGACTTCCACAAACCTCGAATCGGTGGTTGGTACAATAATGATAATGGACTGCCCGCCTCGGGATGGCACGTCGTCCGCCTTGTCCTCCACAATAACGGTTGGAGCTGGCGTTGGAAGGGCAATCAATCGATTGGGTGTCGGTTGGATGGTCTGGGGCACTGGCGGGTCAACAACTGGCGGATTCACGGTGGGCTCCAACACGGCCACTGGAAAGGTTGTCGGAACTGCCACCGGAGAAAAAGTGGGAATGGTAATGGCCCTTCGAGTCGGAGCCATGGTGGGATCTGGTACAGTAGGTGCATTGGTCGGACGTCGCGTCGGAGAAACCGTAGGCCTTTGCGTTGGCAATTTGGTCGGAGATAACGTGGTCGGAGATAATGTGGTGGGCCGTGGTGTAGGCGGAGGGGGTGTTTTGGAGGGTCCTGGATTTGATGGTGCCATGATTGGTGCCTTGGAGGGCGGTTCGGTGGGAGATTTCGTCGGCGGTGGACTATTGAGATTCTGTGGAAATTGAATATTGACCTGTTGTGGAAAGTATTGAATGGAAACGTTTTCACCCAATCCCAATTGTCCATGTAAATTGGTTCCCCAACACCAAAGAGTTTGATCACTTTTGGAAACACAAGTGTGTTCTCGTCCCAGTGCCAGCTTTTCCACATCTCTCAGATCGGGCACTGTAACTGGCGTCATCGAGGATTCTCGATTGTTGCCAACTCCCAATTGACCCGAAAAATTGCTACCCCAGCACTATCATTGGCCGACAATAGAAATACAGATGGACGTTAGAACAAGAAGTCTCGTTTGAAATTTTGCTGTTTGCAATGCCAGCCAGCCAACCAATACAATGTAACAACGTACCTTGACAGTTTCATCTTCCATCAATGCACACGTATGATCTCGTCCCGTCTTGATATCCTTGGCGAATCCTCCCAGATCCACCTTTTGTGGCAGCTGTTGATCTTCCAAGTTTCCAGCATAGGGGTACTAATCGCACAGGTATGATACGATCCGGCCGATACCGTGCTAACGGAACCGAGTTGTGCAATCTTGGTGGGTGTCAATACATTGGTATTGGTGGTACCCACACCGATTTGTCCATTCGAGTTGAGTCCCCAGCACCTACAAAAAAATAAAAAGAAGCAAGCAAGCGATATTGATGATTGAGTATGTTGTGCAATTATATGACATGGGATCCAAACACAAAACATTTTACATCAGTGCTACTCACCACAAGGAATTGTCCGCCGCTTGAATGGCGCATTGATGCGAATATCCAGCAGATATCTGTTGTGGCAGCAAATCTATATCCAAGGTGGATGCCACTTGTACCGGACTCTCGAATCCATCCTCGGTGGAACCAATCCCCAATTGTCCAAATTCATTGGACCCCCAACAGACAAATCGTTCCAAGTTGAAAGAAGGATATGCCACCACGGCACAATTGTGAGATCGTCCCGACGTGATTTGCAAAACGTCCATGTCCGCATTGTTTTGAAAGATTCCCTGCCCTCCCAAGTCAATGTGTTGGGGTGTGTGATAGGATACCGGTCGATTGAGCAACAAATCCACCGAATCGTTGGAACCCCAGCAGTACAATTCCTTGGTTTCTTTGGTCGTCGCACAAGTATGGACGACTCCCAACGACAGCACATCAAAGTCGACCAGTGACACTCCGTCGCTCACTTGAATGGGGACTGGCAAAAACTGGTTGCCATCCGGACCAATGCCGATTTGACCGTATTGATTCCAACCAAAGTTGATCGTTGAAGACACCGCAGGTCGTTCTCCAACCAGCCGCGAGTGCCGAAATGGCATTGGTGTTGGCCGTGGACATTGTGGTTGTGGTTGCAGTTGTTGTCTGTTGTTGAATTGTCTGTCGTTGTTCTTGTTGCGGTTCTAAGCGAGTATGTTTATCGTTCGTAGATACTACGATACTGTATGACTGTTGAAGCTCTAGTTTTAATATATTCGGATGGAATGGAGATGTTTGATGGCCGCAAATAAGCTAAATGAATAAAATTACTCTATCGAAATCAAACCAGACGTAATACTACCGGTCTCGTACTGTAAGTATTTAGGTTTCAAATTTTGTTTTTAGGATTGGCGTGTGTACGGACGTGTTTCGCATTCCATTGATGTGTCTATCATGTGAGTTTGAAAAGGAAGATTCTACCAGCTGCACCCGCTCGAGAACGGAAAATATATAGGCCCATTCCAAATGACCTATTGTATATTCGACGTATAGCCAATCAAAACTCAGAACGCCCCTATCCGAATTTCTCAAGATTCGAAGATTTCTTGTCGTCATTTGTCAATCATTCATCACCGTTCATAATTGAATCGCAGCAAAGAAAAATGATAGTAGAACCCCTCTCGATGGAAGGCAGCTTCTACTTTTGCTTTTTTCTGTCTGCATCTTAGAAAGTGTGCAATCCCTGAGCAGGGAAAACAGGGAAAGTCTACTTCAGACTCATATTTCGGAACAACATCGCATGAACAGATCCCTCCCAATCTACCTCCTACGGCCCACTTTTGACCAGTTCACAGCTACAATTTCTGCATCCCACTTCCGAAAGATGTTTCGCATGACCCAGAGTATGTTTGCCACACTATGTGCAACGATTTGCAATGAAATTGGACCAGAAGTGTTTCGTTCCGAGTCATTTCTTTCTCAGCGTCGCGAACGAATTTATGGGAGTCAGGAGCCAAGAGAACAAGCAGTTGCTCCTGTTTCAGGGGAAATACGAGTTGCAATTGGTCTGAGGATGCTTGCAGGTGGATCATATCTGGACTTGGTACCGCTATTCAGGGTCTCTTCCTCCCAACTCTATGATGTTTTCGATACTTTTTTGGTTTGGATTTTGGCCACCTTCAAGTTTCCGTTGCCACAATATTTTGCAGAGAACAATTGGCCAGCCATTGAGCGCCTTGCTTTTCCTTTTGCCGAAAAAACAAATGGGATATTCTACGGAGTATTTGCAGCGCTCGACGGTCTGGCTGTGAGAATCAAGGGACCTAGAATAGACGAGGTTCCAGATCCTGGGAACTACTACTGCCGAAAGGGCTTCTTTGCTCTAAATGTCCAAGCTATGTGTGATAAGGCCAAGTATTTTCTGTGGTGCTTTCCTGCTAATAAGGGATCCACCCACGACTCTACTGCCTTCGCAAATTCTACCCTGTTTGACATCTTGCGTTCTAAAGCAGAGGAGCTTCGGAAAAGAGACCTATTTGTGGCTGGCGACTCGGCCTACGGCTTAACGTCATTTTTGATGACACCTTATGACAAAGAAGAGATGAAACATGATGATCTTGATATGAAGGATGCTTTCAACTTTTATCTATCGTCATGTCGGATCTACATCGAATGTGCCTTTGGAGAGTTGGTGATGAGGTGGGGGATTCTATGGAGGACCCTTCACTTTCGCCTCAAAAAGTGCATGGAGATTATCAGAGTGTGTATGCTTCTGCACAACTTTATACTAGATCATCAGGAAGAGTCCGAGCGGTATAACATGTCCGAAGTTCAGAATTTCGACATTGAAATGGACCAACTGCAGCAAAACATCACACAAGCAACAGGAGAAATACCTCTGCCCACAGTCAGTGACAACAATGAGCCAAAACCCTCTGGCCGGCGAACAAAGGAGGAGGTGAATGAAAAAGCACTCGGCGAGAATATTCGTTTCAACTTGGCTTACAAGCTGGCGTCTGCTGGTTTGAGTCGGCCAATGGTAACTGGCATGCATACCAACAAGCATGGTCACGTCTATATGACGGAGTAGAAGCGTTGATTAACTAAAACCTAACCTAATTGACTATTACTTAACCTACTTAAAATAATTCCAAATACTAATCATCCCAAACACTAATCATCACCAAATAAGCCATTCTGGTCAGCTTCCTTGACTCTCGCCATGTAGGATTTGCGACGACTATTCCAAAAGCGTTTGTAAGATTCCTTGCTATCTGGTGACATAGACTCCAAATGAGCTGTGTTGTTTAGCTTTTCGAAGCATACATCTACCTCCGCAACAAAGGAGGCGACCGTATCTGTCTTGTTGGCGACCATGTTGGATTGCATGCTTTTCATCAGATTCTCTGCAACATCAATCATTCTGGAAATCTTTGAATATTGTTGATCTGCAGCTGCCAGCTTTACTGCAGTTTCCTTTCTGTTGGCTTTCTTCCTTTTTGCCATCTTCTTGTTATAGTTGGCTCGTCTCTTCCCACTAGATGAAACTGAAGAAGACGAAGAAGTGCTACGGACATCATCATCTTCAGATTCAGACTCAAAACCAGCTTCCACAGAGATATGTGCAGGCATCTGTCCTCCAGTAGGGGATGCAAGCAAGAAGTTTTTCTCCATGTCCTTGATGAAGACCCAAACTAGCCATTCGTCGCATTGTTTGCCACAGTATCTATAGAAATTGGCAGGTTTGCCTTGGCCTCCACCTGTCTCCTTGTTCCATTTACCCAAGGCAGCTTTGTATCTGGGCCGGAGGTATCTCTCCCATGTTTCCTTGAGCCAAGCACCACCGCGCTTGTGTTCAAAAATGGAAGGGTTGTTTGGGTTCCATCTGTCCTTATCTTGTGGGAGCTCAGCCATTTCTTTCCAATAGTCTTCACTTAGGCTTTCAAATGAACGGTCCCTTTTCATGAAAGCTTCATCATAAATTTTCTCGAACAATGCAAGGGATGGATCACAGGATTGATCCATCATCTTTCGGTCCTTCTTTCCGGAGAGAACCAAGCCTACTGCAGATCTGTATTCTGGCAGAAGCATACACAATCCAAGCCGCAAACCATCGTCGCCACTGCGAAAGCCCTTTGTCTTTGATTTCTTCTGCTCAGTCAGAGTTCTGAAATGCATCACTGGACGTTGAAGGCCGCAGGTTTTTTCGCAATTATCAATGATAAACACCATCCGGTCTTTTCCATATGGCTGAAACAGAGGATGTGCCTCAGTGACACTAATTTGTCTGCGGCAAAAAATGATTGCTTTCAACAGTGGTGCCGAGTCTCTGGCAAGGTTCTGACCAAGTCCAGTGTCTTGGAAGTGCGTTGTTATACCTTTGAACAACTTCTTGGCAAGTTTGTTCAGTTTCGGGTAGTTGTACTTCATTTCTCCCTTTGCGCTTTTGCTTGGCACACCTGCATCCTGTAGAGCTTCTGCAATCTCTTTTGGCGGAGGGTAGATATCCTCACATGTTT